GATGGGATGTCTCGGTCGCTGGCTCAGCAGGCAAACTGGGCCATATTTATTTTTAGGTGTACTACATGTTTGAAGCTGCCTGAGTATGGCACTGTGTTTTCTGTGGGGATTTTTGTCTTTCAAAAAGCTTTAGGGAGCTGCAGTCTTTATCAATGGACCAGTATAGGCTATCAGTTGTACATTGCAGGGAGTGGAGGATAAGGCTGAGTAAGTTTATCCTGTTACTGCTTAGGGTTTAGATATGCTGTAAAATGTGAATATCATAGTATGCCATGCTAGGAAGCTGGATGCTTTGCTGGCAGGGCACTTAACAGCTTCAGTGCTGTTTTCCTGGCATTGTTTCTCCTGTGCAATAAATATCCCTGCAAAACCACAGCAGTAAACATGCAGCTTGGAAGTAGCTGAGCAGTGAGCCCATCCTGACATGCCTGGCAGGACGGGATCAGTTTTTCCAGACTTTTGCCAACCCTCCTGCGTGGCACAGACACCACGGTATCTCACAAGTAATGCTGGGAGGAGTTTCTTCTGCCACACTGGGTCTTTGACCAAAGCTACATTTGTGTGGAAGTGACTTACAGCAATGTGTAAAAGTCTGTGTCTTAACCCAAGTGAAACTTCATTTTATTCAGTGAAATCGGGTATGAACATACAGGAAATATTCTACTGCCCTAGAGACCTCAGTGGAATAATAGCTTTTAAAGGTAGCCTTAAAGAGCCTAGTTCATCAGAAAGTAAACTAGAAGAGTTTAAATTATTTTCAAAAGAAATTGTTGAATGCGAAGGATTGAGATAAACTTAATGGCCTGTGTGTGTATGTAAACTTGGAACACAGAACCTGCTTGCCAGTATGAACAATTTGACACTATATATTTTTGGGAGAATCAGGACCTTCTTTCAGGAAGGTATCTGTTGGTTGTTTTTTTTCCCCCCTCCCCGGTGTCCATAGCAGTTCCAGTTGTTTTTTCTCATATGGGTTATTAATACTTGAGGTGTGCAAGCACTGGGTATAGATGGGAATGTAACAGTATCTGGTATTTTATGGTGTAGCTTATTGACTTAGCAGGGATTGTGCTAACAAAGGCTCTTTTTCTCCATGAAAAAGTCTTTACCTTGTTTAGGAACTTTTCTGGAAAAGCTGTTTCTAGTGTAAACTCAGTGGGAAGTAACACTGATGAAAAATGATAGTGCTGTAATATCTCTTCAGGTGGGAGAGATGATTCACACTGAATTTTCCCTAGGGCATTTGCAGTGCTGTTTTTGCCTTTCCCCTGCTTTATAATTTTTGGGGAAAATAAGTGAGGTTTGGACATACCTGGGAAGAGAGGGAGCTCCTGAGAAGTGGGTTTGCTGTGTTTGGGGAGGAGAATCTTTCCAAAGCTCCCATAGGACATGTGATGGAGTGCGACTTAAAACTGAGGCTGTATTTTCACAGCTGTTATGGGAGCATTTTTCATTTAACACAGCACAGATGTGAATGATAAAATATAAATTGAAGATGGATGTACACCATCTTGGCATGTAAGAGGTTCAATTATAGACAGAGCAAGCAGAATGATGGAAAATACATTTGAGTGATTGTTCAGTTAATATAATTTGCAGTGAATTATTCCCAACAATTTCTTCACCCAGCTCCTATTGTAATAATTTTCATTCCTTCATTTGCTATGCGCTTGAAACTGCTTCCCACAACTTGTGCTTGACACTTAATGAAGTATATCCATGCTCCCACCTGTCCCTACCTACATGAAAACAAGGACAGATTTGCTGGAGCTCAGCATTTTCAGCAGTGAGCTCTCTAAGAAGTTAATCATGGTGTTAAAGTGGAGGCTGCCGCTGCTGCTGAACACAATGATGTGACCTGTAAAAGCCTGTTCTGTCAGGCTCAGGGGGGCCAGGGCTCACAGAGGAGCTGGCAGAGGACCTGTTTCCAAACTATACCATGGGCATATGGGGGGATTGTCCTTCCACGAGTGGAAGCTGACAGAAGGTGATCAGCTGGTGCTGAGTGATTAATCCATGTCCTTGGGAGCTGAAGCATTTGCTTCCTACCTGTATGGCATCAGCAGTGCCTGGAGGGTGGGGAGAAGGCGTTAGGCTTTGCACCGAGATGTGTGGCACCAGCAGCGCTTGAGGAGAAGCGCTTTGCTTGCTCGGGTCCCCATCACTTGTCTTGTGTGTTCAGCAGCCGAGTGGGTCAGTGGCAGTGCCACAGCTCTGGACAGGGGGGTCCAGCACTGCAAAGTGTCGCATTTGTGCCCCCCTTCCCTATTCCTAAGGCCCTAGAAACCCCACAATTGCACATTTCTCCTGAAGTTTATCAGAAAGGAAGAGTTGTTCTTCCTGGCCCCCTGGGGGACCTGTTCCTGGGTAGTGGCTATGGGGAAGGTGTCCATGTCCTCCCTCCACGTCCCTCTGCAGCCCACAGGGAACAGAGGGTGATGAAGCTGCTCTTTGCCACCCCTTGCCCTGCTGCTGGGGTGGTGGGTAGGAGTGGGGGCTGTGTTGTGCTATGAGCTTGATGGGACACTGGGTAAATGCCCTCAATTGTAAAAGGGGGCGTATGTAATAGGAAATCACAGTTCTTGGAGTTCTGCCTAGCTGTTGGGATTTGTTGTCTGGAGCATGAGGAATACTGAAGGCAGCATTACTCTGACTTCAGAGAAAAGAACCAGGAATTGTTGCTGCCCAGCCTTGTGCTCCCCTGCTGAACACTGAGATGCAAACTCCAGCTTAAGACTAGTTGTGAAGGAGTCTAATCTTTTCTTCATACCATGTTTTTCTGCACTCATTGTTACTACATTCATACCTAGCTTCATTATTTGACTTTTTTGTGCTCTTCTCTGGTCTTTAGTGTGTTGGGAGATACTGGGAAATATGGTGGACCTGTCCCAAGGGCAGACATGAGCCATGGGAAGGTGCACTGTGAACGTAAGTGCTCCTGCAGGGGTTAGTGAAGAATTCAAGGCTGCTTTAGGGTAAGATAAATATTTCTCTGAGTCTTAACCCTTCAGGGCTTCTTATAAGCTCTGTCAAGCCATGATCACAGTGCCTTCAACACAAAACTCCATACTCTGTAACAAGCTGGGATTTATGCTACTGCTTTTTTCTATAGAGAGAAAGCACTTATAAGGTTAATCTGCCAGCATCTGCTTGTCCCAATCTCTATAATCAGGCAAAACATGATTATGGAGCTGCATGTCATTAGTACACGGTGGCACTTAGCTGACTGAGATTGAATTAAAACCTTAATGGCAGAGCATTCAAGGTAAATAAGAGACAACCAGACCCACTGGTGAATGACTCACCTATCACTCAGCTTGGATTAGGAGAGCAAGAACTCAGGGCTGACCAGAAACAGTAGAAGCAGAGTCACTGAACTGGATATATTGTCTGGGGTTCAGCACTCTTATTACCGTTAAGCACGCATGTGTTGGGGGAGTTGAGGCACGTGTAGGCATAGGATTCCTGCACTGGCCTTTGAGCTGTAAAAAACCCAGAGGCTTTGGACTCACCATAGTGGTGGATGACTTTTGTCTTTGCTGTATTCTGTTTTTTCTGCATCAGTTTCATCAAGCAGGTGTCAATGCTTTGAAATTATTTTCAGCAAACGTAAATCTGAGCATTCATTTTGAGCTGGGTGAAACAACTCTGTGTTTTCAAGTGTTTTATTTCACTTTCCAGTCTTGCCTTCCTTTTTGACAATGTTAGATCAGTGGCTTCCAATCAAAATTTCACTTTGGTTTAATTTTGCCTTTCTTCCAAGTGCATTTTTTTTCAGATCTTTTAAACAAAGCTTCATAAATCAACACTGATGTCATTGTGGGTGTGTTTTTCATGTTCTGTTTTGGATGCCAGAAGTGCTCTGTCCCCAGGGGCAGCCCTGCAATTGGGTTTCCCTGTGGATGTGTGGGGAAAGAGCTCCCTCTGACAGTGGGACAGGGATCAGAGGCTGCAGTGGTTTTGATTGCCAGCTCTGGGGATGGTTATTGCCCTTTTAGCTCTGTCAGTTATTCCTTATTTTGCAGCTCTGGTTTCACTCAGTGCTTGCATCCCTGCCATCAAATAAGATGTGACATGAATATCTGTTGGTACTCTGGCCCTAGGGACATGATTATGAACCTCTGGCTTGTGCTGTCAGTGACATTTGAGGTAGGAAAAGCATTAGATAGTGAATTCTCTGGAGAAAATGCAGGGAATGAGCAAGTAAACAACAAAAGATGGGCATGGATCGAGGTCTGTCAGCAGTGTTGAATTTGAAGAGTTTCTGGTGTTTCTATTAATTTATATCCTCTGCCAGCCTTGTTGCTATTGCCCTGTGCAAGATCTGTACCTCAGAGCAAACTTTATTTTTCACCTAAGGGCTAACAACTTTTCATGTGTTTCATAAATTTGCATTTTAATGGAATAAATATTATGCTTTCCCCCCAAAGCAACAATTAAAAATTAAAGCCTCTGGGAAGCTTTCTCTGAACACCCAACAGCTCAGGTGAAGTGTCCAAAGCAACTGTGGTGTATTTAGATGTGACGTGGTCCTGAATGTATTTGGTTTGTCAGCATGGATAGATAACTTCTTGAGGCAAGACCTCATCCCTCTCACAGTTAGAGGGATCTCTCCTATGGCTGTAACTCAGGACCCCAAAATCCCCACTTCCTTTGAGCTCTTCTGGGCTGCAGAGTGCAGAGGTTGCACTCAGACATTGCAAAGCACAAGGTAAAAATGGAGATTGTTTCAGCACTACTGTATGAAAATGATAGATGTATTCACAGTCTCCTATGGAAGGAAGTTGGGGAAAAATTGTATGCTGATGCTCTCTGCTGGATAAATCCAAAAATGCTCTTGCCTCACTGGCACTGTGGTGACAGGCCAGTGTTGGGCTCCTATCTCCTGCAACTCTGCCCACACTGGAACACCCTGATGGTGTTTTGAACTGGCCAGGGCTGGCTGAGAGCAAGAGGTGTTAGAATTACTGCTCTGACTCTTCTCTGTCCTTCCTTTACAGTGTGTTACTTGCTGAAGAGCAACATCAGCCCTGACCTGTGCAATGAGGATGGATTAACTGCGCTGCATCAGGTGAGGTGTGGGAGGAGGTCACAGCTCCCTGCTGCTCCTCACCATCGGGCTTGCTGCTGCCCTCTGAGCAGACCTGTCCAGGTTAAACTGAAAGACCTCCTGTATTTAATTTTTTTGCTCAGTTAAAGCAGTGAAACTTCACTATGTTATGCTTGTAATCCAGTTTCTTGGGGAGCAAACTGAGATCAAACCCTTCTCTCTGGTTTGTTCAGTGGTAAGAAGAGCTCGGGAATTGGGGCTAGACTTCAGGTGTGAACAACATTTCTCCCACCCTTTAATCTTTGTAGAAGTGGGCTGTAAACTCTTAAAGCATGTTAACTCAGGTTTAGAGACCTTGTCAATCCGTGAGTTTTGAAGGTGGTTTAAATAAATGATGCACAGGATACTTGAAGAGCCTAGTGCTGCTCACTGCAGGCTCACGGACTTCACCAGTAAAATAAGGATTTGCAATAGTGATGTTTAAGTCTGTGTCCTTCCTTGCAGCCTCTGTGCTGATCCCATAAGGGTTTTTCTATTCTGTCCAAGGCCCGTGGGACTGGCCGTGCCTGGCAGCTACCGCCTCCACTGCGGTGAACAACAGTGGTGCGTTTGTCACATGCGCTCCGAGGGTGGAACAGACACTCAAGGGTTTCTCGCCATTAGTGCCTGCTGTAAATGCTCCCGCTGACTTGGGATTTTGGATTCTTTTGCAAGTTGCCTGCTCTCTTCAAAGCTGGATGGGGTGTTTGTTTAGAAATGCAAACTGGCTCCAACAAGAACAAAAGGTCCCCGCCACTACCAGCAGCACCTCTCCAAAGAGATGTTATCCTGCACACAGAGACATGCTGACAGCCTCTTTGATAGGTACTACCAGCTAGGTACTGAAGCCATGGAGAATCCTATCTTGCTCACTGAAGGATAGGTTATTGTAAAGGTGCATTTGGGAGTTGAGATGGGAGCTTTGCATCCCGTAGAATTAATTGGATCCCTGAACAGAGAGAAACTCCTAAGTGAATAGTGTTGCCCATTACCAGTGACTTCTAGTGAAGGGCTCAATTACACTTTTGTGGTAACTTGGCTGTGTGACAGGAACGATTATAATCTCACTTCCATGTACAAATAGTGAACAGAAATAGAAATACATAAAGGATTCTTGTCACTCAGTTGCTAAAATGCTTGTTGTGGATTGGAATTCAGCCCCATTAGTGGCCCATACTGTGTGCTGAGCTGTGAGTCTCCTGTGTGGGTCAGCAGTAACACACAGACCACAAACAGGCTTCTTGCACAAGAATGAATCTTATTTAGTGTCTTGATCACATGCACATTCATGTCAAGATGTGAGTACAAGGTGGATCAAAAAGCAAATTCCACCTTCTCCAAAGGAAAGAGGTTGAGGCTTTTCTTGCAGGCTGCCTCTGGGACTATACTGTAAATGCAGGGAGGATGCTGATCTTTTTCAGGAAATGGAAGGTGCCCTGTGAAGTAGCTCATAATTCTAGGAGTCCAATTTGCACATCTGCAGATAACTGTGGTAGGTAGCGGTGAACTGCTGAGAAGACTTTTACTAATCACATGCCAGTGTGTGGGATTTTCCCTAAGAAAAGGGAATGTCAGCTTGTCAGCTCATCCCTTGGTATGTGGTTAAACTGGTTACATTGAATTTCTCTTATGTTTTCTCTTGAATATGGAAGACCCGGTGAAATAGAAGCTGTGAGCATATTTGCTGTTATTTCCTGCTGGTTCTGCCCCCACACCAGAAGGCCCTTTAAGACACCAGTGACCTCTGCTCTGCCTAGTGTAGGTGTTCTGCATGGTGCCTTTCTGACCTACTGCTGTTTAACTCTGTTGGAGTTGCTTGTTGCCAAACATTGCAGGATAAATTAGGTCTCCACATCCAGGTGCTCTATATTATTTCACATCTGAGCAGGTATAAGCCCTCATCTTCCCAAAGTCTAAAAAACCCAATCTGTCTGTATCTCTTCCTCACCAGTGCTGCATAGACAACTATGAAGACATAGTCAAACTTCTCCTCAACCATGGGGCCAATGTCAATGCCAAGGACAATGAGCTGTGGACTCCACTGCATGCAGCAGCTACATGTGGTCATATCAACCTGGTGAAGATCCTCATCCAGCAGTAGGTGGCTTCTTGTCTCTGTCCTTCCTGCAGATCTGATTCTACCCACAGCTTCTTGTGGATGGAAACCAAGACTGTTCAGTACCTTGCAAGATTGCAGTGGTGGTGATTATTCCCTGTTTTCAGGCTATTCATGGGACTCCTTCCTGCTTGGGGGAGAAGGGGGTGGAGGAGGAAGAGCAGAAAGGCTGAGGAGACAGAACAAAACCCTAGGTGGCTTGGCTGAGTTTCATGAATTTTCTGGAGACTGGGCCAAAATTTTCTGCATTTTGCCTGTATTTTGGTGTGTCTGTATGTGCTTGTGGAACTGTGGTCACTGGGTGGGTAGAAATAGGAGCAGCCAGCAAGGGTCCACCTCTTCAAGCCCTTAAACACCTCTTCAGATCTTCCAGCCCCAGTCAAAGAGACACTGTTGTAGGAGGGCAGCAGTGTGTTTGTATAGTTCAAATACCTGGGTGAACTTTGTGACCTGTCTTACTGGGTCTTAATTAATAACCAGTTTGCTTCCTGTAGTGCACTGGTTCCCCAGTGGTGACACAGGTGCTTACACTGGACCTTCCGCTTGATTTCACCAAGGCCCTAAAGCTCAAGTGTTTGCCCTAAATCTCAAGTCTTTTCCAGACTTACTAGCAAGGTGGAAGAAGCCAGGTGTGTTTTGAGCTGTACCATTTGGTGATCACCTGCTGTGAATCCTACCTGGAACAGGTAGTTCTGGCTCTGTATGGAGCCCTATCCTCCATTTCCCAGAGTGAGTGTTTTGGAAGTGTTAACTTACTGCCTTGCACGGTAATGTCTGCTGCTTCTCCCTCGGGAAGGGAGACTTCTCCCTGTGATGCCATCATCTGAGAGATGAGTGTTGAAAATTTGGCCCTTTTTTGGCTGTATAGTGAAGGAGAGAAGAGGATGCAGTTGGACATCTCTTGGAGGATGTGCCCACTTGGGTTAGGAAATTTTTGGATGGGGGAATAAAAATGGAGCAGATATGGAACAACACAGTCATTACTGACCCATGAAGGAGGTGTAGTGTGCTGCCTTTCATCCACTTCTGGAATTAATCTTTGCCATTCATAGCTCCTTGGCTTTGCTTCAAATCTTTCTTATCTCGTGTGTATCTTGGTGGCATTTGGGCAACTATTAAACCCTGGTTAGTTTTTCCTAAGCATTTATCCCAGCATTTGGCACTGCCTACTCTAGGATGTCTGAGGTCTTTTCTCATGTAACTGGGTTTTCCCTTGCAGTGGAGCAGACCTGTTGGCAGTAAATGCAGATGGCAACATGCCGTATGACCTCTGTGAAGATGAGCCAACTTTGGATGTCATTGAGACTTGCATGGCCTATCAAGGTAAGGAGATTGAGTTCACGTAAAATACAAAACTGGGTCAATGTGGTACTAAAAATTATCTTGTTTATCAGCTCTTGACTGGCCTCTGGAGAAAAGCAGAGAGCTGCTCCTGGCATCATTTCTTGGAACCTGACTCTTGGAACTAGACTCATAGTCTATTTACTCAGATTCCTAAACATCATGAGGTTGAAGGACAGCAGGCAGGTTCCCTCAGCTACATATTCTCTGAAAAGGGTGTGAGGTCATATCAGCCAGGATCATGTCTGATTTTACTCAACAAGTGGAGACAAAAACCCTTTCCAACTCTCCTCTAACTGGAATTTTAACAGGGATTACACAGGAAAGGATCAATGAGATGCGTGCTGCTCCAGAGCAGGTCATGATCTGTGACATTCATGACATACTTGCGACTGGACAGGACCTGAACAGGACTGATGCCCAAGGTGCTACGCTGGTGAGTGAAACTGCAGCAGCTTCAGTTTTGCCTTCATTCAGCCCAGAGGTTATGAAATCTGCCCTGAGGCAGGAGTTATACAAAATCAACATGTACAAGTCACTGAGAGGAGAAATCCCACAGTGAGGAGTTGCAGAACATAAACATCTGCTAACCTCCAGGGAACTGGGACTGAAAGACCTCCTAGTGACCTCTTGTTTCTCACTAGTCTTGTAGATTGATCAGACTCCCATAGAAGAGGCATGAGAGTCCTCTGGTTTTCATGGGAGCACGATCTGGTGTTGGGAACTCTGAAGACCTTCTGCCTCCTTTCTGCTTTGCATAGCATCTGGCTCACAAGGAGTCAATGACTGCTGTGTTTGCCAAGGTAGGATGGCATCTGCCCCTGGCAGAGGAGAGGACCCAGGACAAGTGTAGAGCACAAAGCAAGCTGCCGTCTGATTTGACTGGACAGGTACCGAGAAAGCTGAACAATCCTAGTCCTGTTTCCTTCCTTTTCACCTGCAAATATGTTTCTTAAATCATTGCTTACAGCAGTCCCAGCTTAGGGGAAATTCAGTAATGAGGTCATATGTGTTGGGAGTTTCATACAACCTTGGTCATTTAATGCTTGGGTCCAGACATAACTGATATACAGGCACTTGGTTCATTTGTTTGATGACTAAGCCACAGCATTCAGTTTTCTTAATCTAAATGTCACCTTTAGCATATACCAGAAGCATAAGAGGAGGGCAGGCTCCCTCCAAGATAACCTTGGATGACTGAAGCTTCTATTGCAGCTTATTTTTTCAATACCTTTTTCCCTTTAACAAGGATTATATACATAAATTTAATCAGACTCCTAGGTTTCCCCATTTGTATCAGCCCCAAGTGATTTCCTGCTAATTCATGTGACCTCTAGAAGGTATGACTGAGTGGCATAAAATTTATGTAGAAATTATTGAGTTGCCAGAAAGCATCAGAATTTATTTCCAGATGAGAGTTTAACTCTTTGTGGTGGAATCCACATGGAAATTTTTTGAAAATAAGCTTTAATTCTCCTCTTCAGCACAGTTGAAATAGGAGGATCTTTGGGTGCAGTTAATCCCTTCAGACCAGTGCATAGGTCAGTGTTTCTCTCAGACATGCAACAGCAGACTGCAAATATGAAAATCTTCAGAAACATTAAGTTGGGGGACTAAAGGAGACTGTTATTGATGTCTCCAAAGTGGTGGCTGTAGTTGGAAGCCAGTATCTGAAAAAGCATATTCCCTTAACTACAAGTAGCCAAGGTTTAAAATGTTTTTTATTTTCAAGTGGTGAAAATAATATCATGAGTGGAAGTGCAGTCGTATGGAGAGAGTTCTGACTAAAGCAGGCTGTAAATTTGATCAAAGAAATCCCATCCACAGCACATTAGTGGGAAAGAGGAGACATTCTCCTGGCATGAGAAATGCAGAGTGTACAGTGGATGATGTTCTCCACTGCAGGCTTGCACTTTGATTGTGCTGTTCCCCTGCAGATTGGGAAGCACTTAAGAGCCCTTGATTTAAAATGTGAAAACATTATTTTTCTAACCCATATAGGTAAGTTATTTGAAGAAATATTGAGCAGTTTCCTCTCCAAACAGAATTACGTGCAGGTAATACTGAGTTTTAGCAATAGGAACAACCTGCTTTTGATCTGGTAGCATCTGCCAAATGTGAAATGTGGTGCATGTTCATCTCTAGGCTCAAACATTATTTAAGAAAATCTGCTGAAACTTGGTCTATAAAGCCATCCGTGATCCTTGCAGGTGGTTCATGCTGTGTTCTTATCTCCTAGCTGCATATAGCTGCAGCCAATGGTTATCTGCATGCAGCTGAAGTCCTTCTTGACCAGGGGGCAAGCCTGGACGTTAAAGACTGGGATGGCTGGGAACCTCTTCATGCTGCTGCTTTCTGGGGACAGGTACTGATTTCTCTGAAAGCATCCTGTATGAGGGTGACATTTCTTTCTGTCTGGACAAATTGTGTAGCACTCTGAAAATGGAATAAGTCTGTGCTGAGGCTGGGCTCTCTGGACAGCATCAGAGGAGGTCCTTTGGGTTCCAGAAAGAACTTGTTGCTGCGAAAGTTCAGATGGAGTATGTCTGAGTATGTCTGTGCAGCTGAATGGTAGGAGCATTGTTTAAGACCACACACATACCAGAATAATTTGAGGCAAGTTGAGCATGCATGCCATTGCTTCTGATCTTATTCCAACTTTTCAGCTTTGGGAAGGAAAGCCTAAATTGCCTAAAATAGCTCTATGAACTTGACTTTCTCACTTTCCATTCTTTAGATGCAGATGGCTGAGTTACTTGTGTCCCATGGGGCTAGTTTGAGTGCCAGAACATCTTTGGATGAGATGCCAATAGGTGAGTTCACTAAGCTTAAAAAAAGAAATGCCTAAGAAATGGCTGGAGCCTTCACATGGTGCCTTTGGAAGAATTAATGTAATTTCTTAAGTTTCTTCAGAATCGAAGTTTCAGTTACTTTAAGTGGGATTGAAGTTTTGAAGCTCCTGCTTTACTGCTTCTCAAGGTGTTTCTTCCTGCTCATAAAAACAAGGAAGAAGGCATTTCTCAAGCACCAAGTCCTTCTTCTGTGTATTTCTACACATGTTATCCCTCTGTACCTGTGCTTGGGAGTCTTCTTGCTGAGTACAACTGTAAGACCATGGGTATCTTAACTAGGAAGACACAGTTAGTAACATGGTGTCAGTGGTGCCACGTGGGAAGTGTCTCATTAAGGGCTTGGTCTGTGTGTGCCATAGATCTGTGTGAAGAGGAGGAATTCAAAGTATTGCTTCTGGAGTTGAAACACAAACATGATGTGATCATGAAGTCTCAGATGAGGCATAAATCCTCCCTGAGTCGAAGGACCTCCAGCACAGGCAGCCGGGGGTGAGTTGTGCTCTTCTGCAGGTCACCCAGTGCGCATTGGCTTGGCCATCCAGGGGTGGTTGTGCAGGACCCCATCTGTCCTTTCTGAACAACATCTGAGAGACAGAAGCTGACTTTGGTTGCTCAAAGCAGAGGTCCCTTGAAATGTGGCTGCTTTACTAGAAAGAGAGGCTGTTTCTTTGGGGGGTAAATGGCTTTGCACTGTTGTGGTTTAATAATTGTTCTGAGCAGAGGACCAAGTGGTGAGAATTTACCCTGTTAAACCGCTGAGATCAGTGTTGGACAGTCAGTGCTTCAGGTGGATTAACTTGACCTTCTCAATAATAAAATGGCCTGGCCAAGATACTGTGCCCAGACACCGCTTGCACAGGTCTTTATAAAACATTTACTAGACACCAAAGCAGTCTTGCAGACCACAAAACTCCCTAAACAGCCTGTGGGCCATTCCTCTATATTTTTACTCCACTGGTTGCAGAGTAGATCTATTCATTGAACTGTATGAGTTCTAAAGCATATCTGCAGTGCTACTTTAAAACTCCTTAAATTTCCTCACACCTTTAATATCCACACTAATGCCTTTGCTTTGTGTGGGTGCAAGGAAGCTAAATCCATGTTCCATTCTAGAGGGAGAGGCTGTGAAGTGTGAGGTGGAGGTGAGAAGGATTATGGGGTAAGAGGAATTGTTATGTCCTACTCACAGCTTTTATGCCCTTTGTCCCTGTCCCACAGGAAGGTGGTGAGGAGGGCCAGCCTTTCGGACAGGACAAACCTTTACAGGAAGGAGTGTGAGAAAGAGGCCATTGTTTGGCAGCAACTGGGGGCAGCAGAAGAAGGAAGAAACTCGGGTCTCATTGGAGAAATTGGGGAGACTCGTTCTGACCAGGAGAATACAGACCCTGTAAGCAATCTCTTCTCTGTTATGGGAGTCACTGAGGGGGGCTGGTAGTGCAAGTTCAGTAGCAGTGGGTGCCCTGGGGTTGAAGGTGGCTAAAAAATGTGTAGACTTCATCCTAATTCTCATTTGTCATAAACTGGGATAACCCTCTCCAGAGGGAAGACTGTTTTGGATTTAGAGCTGCATAAATAGTTTTGATATAAGATCCCAGTGAACCAGAGATTCTGAAAATACGGTGTGTGCATTTCTCTTTACAGCTAAAAGTGGTAATCACAAAAGAATTGTAAAGTTGCTTTGCAGATACTTGTTTTCAATTCAGTTACTATCGTATTATATTAATATGCTTATCTATTTAGTATTTTTTTGTGAGTCCTTCTGACTTAAATGTTCCATGTACCTGGTTAGGACTCACAGCGTTATCGGGTCCCGTTAGTGGGTGAATTTAGTGTTTGTGCTGCAGTACCTGACTGGTTGAAAGGCTGAATGGAAGTAGGCTTACGAAGTTGTTACAGGGATAAACCCTGCAATGGGGGACAGTGGAAGATGCTCTTCTTTCATGTCTTCTTGTTCCAGAACTCAGTGCTGGAGAATTCCTCCCTCCTTCCGGAGTTAGCAAACAAAAGCACCCAGTGTGACTCTGAGATCCCACTCCAGAATGGACTCATGGCATCTGCCAGCCCTTACCAGTACACCTTTTCCAACGGGGACATTTGGAGCATGCACGCTGACCCCAACAGTAACCCAGGCCACGTGCTGCCCTACGGCAGCCCTGGGCTCCCTGACACCCAGCAGTTCTGGGGCACCTACAAGGAGCACAACCACCAAACGCTCTCAGAACTGAAGAGGCAGCGGGCTGCAGCCAAACTCCTCCAGCACCCTTTCCTCAGCACCCACTTCAGCAGTGGCATGGCAGGAGTTGCTGAGAACATGGGTGAGGCAAAGTCGCACTTAATGGAATCCAGGACTTCTCCCTACAGCTCAAATGGGACCTCAGTGTATTACACAGTGTCCAGTGGTGATCCGCCCCTCTTGAAATTCAAAGCTCCCATGGAGGAAATGGAAGAGAAGGTGCATGGGTGCTGCAGAATTTCCTAGTCTTGTCTGTGTCTCTCCCCAGAGAAAACAAGATGTGGGTGGGCTGGTTGGATCTATCTCAGCTGCCAGGTTGTTTGCATTCCAAAGGGAGAATTTAGTTATGGACATCCTGACTGTGGCAACCTCGTTCATCCTGAATTGTACTTTACCCTGCCAATTACTTACATTGCAGCTGAATGAGTAACGCAGGTGGAGCAAGGCTTTTAGCAGAGGAAGGGATGAACATCAATATAATGTAAAAAGAGTCTCCCTCATCTTGCTCCCTGGGGAAGAAGGTATCATGCACTGCCTCCCCATCCTTGGAAAGTCATGAGATGCCTTGGAACAAAGAAAGGATCTGGATTAAAATCTTTGCATCTGAGCCTCTTGCTGCAAGTCATCCAACAGCTGGAAGGTGACAGTTCAGACCTGCATTTTCACCCTTGGGTGATGCACATACCTTGGAGGGGAGGTCAACCCCCACATAGGGTTTGCAAGAGCTGTTTTGCATCCAGCTGGTTCCAGCACTTTCTGGGCCTGAGCAACAAGGAAGCGTAGATGCTGCACTTAGGAAGTTTGCAAGGCATTATCTCCTTGCAGTGACAGCTCACCATCAAGAACTGTGCACTGGCTGGGTCCTGTTCAGGTGTCAGCTCGTCACTGCAGGCTGCCTTCAGGTTTGAAGCAGAACTTTTCCTGGAACAGGCTTCACTCAGTAGGCTTTAAAACTGATGTTGCAATAAGGGGCCCTGGCAATAGAATTTTACTGCAATAAAATACTGGCAAAGGTCTATATTGGGATAAGTAATTAAAAAAAACAACTTATTTGTACTATTTAGACTCTTAATTTGTTAAAACCGAAAAGACTTTTGTTGATCTCACTTTCCTATTGATTCTGTTTGTTTACTCTATATGCTCAACACAGATACTAGGGGCAGTGTGCTTTGCAATCTGATTTTTTTTTGGATTTCCAGAACTGCAGGGCTCAGGAGGGGTGAGGAGGAAAGGCTTGTCAACACTAATGTAGAAACGCCGTGAAACCATTTCTAATCCCATAATGTGATGACACTTGCATTAACCTCTAGTGTTTGGCTCATAAATAACAGTTAAACCATTGCTATGGTAGTTCACTGTTGCAGCAGGACAGGAGATTTTTTTGGTCTGTTTTCCAGCTCCCATGTTGAAGTTGTCAGCAGTGATTAGCAGCTGTCAGCAGAACATTTAAATGCCTCTGTGTCTGAAGGAGTTGCCTTGCACCATGCCGTGCTTAGCAAAGCCTCTCTGCTGTGAAGCTGCTGGCACACAACACTGTCTTTTGGTGCAGTCCATGTGAGCTCTGAGAGACCACCCGAGAAACACTAGGATGGGCTTCTCAGCAAGTTCAGGCTTTGTGTACCTGGGGGAGGTGAGAGGAGAGTGCCCCATGGGACACAGCTCTGAGGAACTGGCCACAGTTCAGTTGTATCTACAGCAGTAACTGTAAATCTTCAACCTCTTTTCTGCACAGAGGGGCTGTTGCAAATGTAACTATTTGCCTGCATGAATACTTGTCTTCTTGGGCAACTTAAATTCCAGACTGAAGATATAAACCTGTTTGTGTCTCTGTAAGCCATCAGTGGATTAAATCCAGCTCATCTAGTTGTGCTTCAGCCAAGCAACAGCAAATGCAGCTTCCACCCATCTTTTTATCGGGTGGCTGTTAGACATCAATATTATCCTTCACATGTGCGTTCCCTCTGTGGGAATCCTCACAGCCTTAACTTTTTTCTAGGCTATAAAGATTTGACTTAGGCTGCCAGTGACTGTTAAGTGCTACCTTCTGCTCCCATCAAATCTAGCCCATTGCTGGGGCTGGATATATTACAATACAGGGCTCTGGGCTTCTTGAGGCAGCAGCAGTGGCTGTGTGTCACCACCACAGCCACACCATGCAGGAAACACTTGTGGACCTGTGAGGTCATTACCAGACTGACAGTTTACTCTTTCTTTCCTCACCAATCTTAGGAACAAACTAGAATATGGCAGAAGCTGACCCAATTAATTTAAAACTTCAGTTCTGTTAAAGGCAGGGTTTGAAGCGTTCAGTGAAGTTGGGCTTCCTCCATTATTGAAATACATATGCTAAATATGAGACTGGAAAATACTTCTTGTACTTGACTTTAAGATTAAGGGATTTTAAAAGTCAGTCTCTAGTAGAAAGAGGATGATTTGGTAACTGGAGAGACTTTCCTGCATCTGTGTGTGCTTAATAGTGGGTCTTCCAGTTACCCTGAGTAAATTCTTCTGTGATAACACCAAGTGTGGCCTGGTTATTATGGAACATAGGGGAGATGATCTTTTGGGTGCCTCTCTTCTCCCGCAGTGGTGAGGTTTGTCTTTCCAAATCCGTCCTAATGAGACTTTTGAATTCACTGTAACAAATTTTGGTGCCACTCTCCACTGGGTTGTAAATGGTGCAAACTTTGGGCCCAGATTTGCCTTCCCTCCTAGCGAAGGAGGAGTTGGGCCCTTTTCCTTTTCAGAGCAATTCTGTGCTATCAACTGTATTGAATCCTACCTAACTCCAAGGAAATGAAAAGAAGAGTGTTGAATGCAATAGTGTGAAGTAGTTTAACTCTTGCTTTCACTGAGAGTTGCTAAAGCATTAAAACTGTGGGAAACCAGTTCATTTTAGACTAACAGCTCTTTTGCTTCCATTGGTATTTCACTCTAGGAATAAGGCCTTTTACTGTAAAATTTAGCAATGTTACAACAACAGTGGGGTTTGATATCTATATGTTTTAAAGGGCAGTAACCCAAAGGTTTTAGTTGTTCAGATTGTGCAAAGATTTAACATTAATGTATTGATGGGTCTATTGCAAGCAGAGCTCCACAAGAATAACCCTTTTGCTCACCACATCTTCCTGTGTGCTGAAATCATACTGTTTCTAACAAACAAACTGGTTGCTGAGAGCAGCTTTACATTCCATATTGAAAGGCACTTTTTATATCGAAAAAAAGGTGTCTTTCAAAATAATGTCTCTGTCAGCCAAGAAAGTCACAGCACTGAAATATTACATAAGGGCTTAAGTTCCATTCCTGGGATCTGTTTGACATCAGACCTGGATTTGTATTTCACATACCAAGTAATGCGATTTCAGCCCACTTAGTCTCACTTCTTTGGTACTCCTGAATCTTAAAATCTTCCCACTTTTGGGAAGAACTGACTCTAGCTGTTGTGATTCTGTGCCATCTTGCAGATGTGGTTGAAGAACCATGTGGATGAGGAACTGGTAGGGAAGGAGAAGAGCATATCAGGGCAACAGCAATAATGACTTGGTGCAATACTCAGTGGAGGCAATGAATTCTGGAGTTTATTGAGCAGAGTCTTATTTCATGGGGTTGAAATCACTTACGAGCTCCCAAATGGCATTACAATTTCTGTATAGTGTCCTTTTGCTTCAGTCTTGGAGCTCTGATTACCCAGATCTTCTCTGCTGAAACTAGATCAGCAATCCCATAGAAAAGGGACTATCTGGACCAAGAAAGCAATAGCACTGCTCTCCAGTGAGCTGTGGATGAACTGCTGTCTATCTGCTGAAAGGTATTCTCCCTACACCTGGGTATTTCTGTGCCTTATAATACTTGCTAAAGGTAACCCATCTCTGAAAGGTTTATGGTGACTATACAGTGTTGTTCTTTAACTTTAGGCTGTTTGCAAGGCGATAAAAGTTCAGAACGTGCCAGATTTTGACATTATTATTTGCTCTTTCAGTTTCTCTTGTGATCGCCACTTCTCTCTTCCTAAATACACAGAAAGGAAATGCACAGGGTCTTCATTCTACTTTAACAAATCATGTTGACTACTTTGTATTAGTTCTCTACAGGCAGAATCCAGAACACGCTCATAGCAGCAAGGTCTCACCTCTTACTACAGAATACAGCTAATATTTACTTCTTTTGTTCTGTTTTGCCTGTGGCTGGTACAACAGAACACTGTCCCTGGTTGTTTTTCACACTTATTCTACTGTTTTCATGTTGGCCAAACTGGTAATGGCTTTCTCATTTCCCTCACACAATTCTAGTACCACTGGGCTCTCCAGCAACATCTGCCATGGTACAAGTACAACCTAGAATATTTTGCTTTATTTCAACTGTGGAAGCTGTAGTAGAGGAGACTCTGCTCAAGATACCTGTTCCCAAAGCTGCACCAATGCAATTATCTCCACCTGCAGCTGGAGGGGAGTTACAGGTTTTTAAACAGTGCAGATGCAGCCTTAGTATTGCCACTGCTATGTCTTCAGCCTTTAGATTGCAGTGTGAGAGTGGATGCAGGAATGTGGGTAACCCTGGTACAGCATGGCAGGACTGCTGTGTGTACAGGACATTAACAGATGATGACAAGCCTTCTGCAATAACTCATAATTCTGTCGATCAGTAGTAAACGATGTACAAATAAAACTTGATGAAATGTATTTTATGTGAAAAAAAAATGTAAGAACTGTATATTGTATTAGCAGCTTTGTGTATAAAATGGCATTTTGGCAATCAGAGTCTAATATATTTAAACTTTTTTTAAAAAAGGATATTTGATATTGTATGGAATTGACTTTATTGCTACTGTAAGTATGAAGATGGTTTAACATGATGAAGACATGCATAAAATCCTAAACTTTATGTAAAACTCATGCCAAAAGGGTATGTCTGACAGTATTAGCACCTGACTCAGTGTCTTTAATAGATTGAATTTTTTAATTTAAAAATTATATTAAATTTCTTTTAATAATACCAAAATACCACTGAGGTTTTTTTAATTGGTTGATGTTTTGGGACTCTGCTAAATGCCTCTGCCTCTCTCTTAGCTGTCGGTACAGCCAAAGGACGTCTGGAAGAGTAAATCTGGAGAGTGGGTGAGTGTAGCTTTTTGTTTCAGCGAGTGCAGGTCTCAAGAAGCGTTTGGACAACGCTCTCAAACACATAGTGGGATTCTTGGGGGTGTCCTGTGCAGGGACAGGAATTGGACTTTCCTGATGCTTGTGGGTCTCTTTCACCTCAGAATATTCTGTGAATATGATGCTGGGAACGAGGGGGAGGGCCAAAGTTGTGTCTGCCTTTCCTGGATTGGGACATGCCCGAGGCATTAGGTCCAGCATACGTTAACGCACATCAGTCATTAAAAGGGTCCTTCTCAGGAGGGTTGATTCGCGCGAAGGCGAAAGCGCCCTGGAAGGACGGCAGGGCTGTGTCCCCAGCCAGGGAACTCCTGCGGCCGCGCTTCCCGGCCCCAGCGCGACGGATGCAGGCCCGCTCCCGCCCCGCTCCCGCCCCGCTCCCGCCCCGCTCCCGCCCCGCTCCCGCCCCGCTCCCGCCCCGCTCCCGCCCCGCTCCCGCCCCGCTCCCAGCTGGGCGGAGGCGGTGCCGTTGCTGCCCGGAGCCAACCGCGGCGCGGGGCGGGCGGGACGCGCCAGTGGCGGCGGCGCTGTTTGGATTCAAACGCGCTATAAAGGAGCCGCGGGCTGAGCGGGGCCGGTCCAGCCATGGCCAACTCGTCGCAGTGCCTGGAGGAGGGCGCGGGGCGCTGGCCGCCGCCGGCCGGGCCGTACAGCGAGGCGCAGCGCCTGGCGCTGGAGGAGCTGGTGGCGGGCGGCCCCGAGGCGCTGCGGGCTTTCCTGCGGCGGGAGCAGCTGCCCCCGTTCCTGTCGGAGCCCGAGGTGCAGGACATCGCGCGGGCCGCGCTGCCGCTCGCCGCGGGCCCGGAGCCGGCGGCACAGTCCTCGCCCGGCTCTTCGCTGGACGCCTCATCCCTCACCTACTTCCCCGAGCGCTCGGACCTGGAGCCGCCGGTGCTGGAGCTGGGCTGGCCGGGCTTCGCCAGCGGCGCCTTCCGCGGGCTGACGCGGGTGGAGGCGCATTTTCAGCCCGGCTGCGGGGACAGCAGCAGCATCTACGGCTGCAAGGAGGCGGTGCGGCGGCAGATCCGCTCCGCGCGGCAGGTGAGTGCCCGGGACCGATAAGCGCCTCCTTCACGGGACACCGAGCAAGGTCAGGCGGCTTTAGAACCGCCCCTGCCGAGCAGAGAATGCCTCGTGAAAAGGACAAGCTCGAAAATATACAAGGAGTGGCAGTCTATATGGTGCATCTCCGAACTCCCCCTTTCCTGATTACATTGCTCCGGAGGGGATGGGCCAAGAGCTCCCCGTTCCTCAGTGCAGCGCGGCTACCATGGACAAATCACCCGCTGCATCCAGCTGATCCCGCACTCACTCCTAGCGGAAGGTTTCCTGTTCCAGGTTCATCACTGATGGCCTCTGCCAGACAGATTCGCTTACGGAAATCTCTCACTGTCCCCCAAAGGGTATGACAGAAAAGACCTCCCTTATAAAAGAAGGTTATCTACAGAGATAACACTATGATTATATCTCCTTTCTTCAGCTCATTAATTGTCCCCAAGTGTTGTGCAGACCTGCCCTTAGCAGGACTTTCCTCCTACAGAAGTGGATGTTTTTGTTCTGATGCAGAGTACGGCTTAAAAAACACGGCGCATAGTCACTTCTGTTTTCTGTAACTCATTACACCTCTGAGTTTCTAGCCTCCAACTCTCACCCCCCGGAGGGAACCACCCTTCCCCTTAGCATCCATTCAATTGGCTTAGCTGAAATTTAAATGTGTAGCTTCCTCTTTGGGTGGCCAGATGAAGCAACCCCTGTCTGTGTGTAACGTGCTCGCACACGGCACTCCCTCAATCAGCAACTGAGCTTAGTCCCTGGTCCCTTCCGAGGACGGAACCTTAGAGAATGTGTAAGGATGACACGGCTGATGGGGCTCATTGCCGGAAACGGTCACAGAGAAAGCTTTGTTCTCAAACGATCCTTATGAGGTAGATGAGACCAGCCAAATAGTACTGAGACTCGAATAAACTCCGTAAAAACATTTGTTTCTCTAAGAAGCCATACTTGTTTGTAATATTGTTGCTTACAGCATCCTGTGAAGCACCTTCCACTGCACTTAGCTGAGAGACAGGCAAGCTGCTCCTGCCCCAGCTGTGTATGTGCCTAATAAGGAGCGTTTTTGTGGACATGAGAGAAATTTTTGACACCCTAAAATTTACTGAATATGAGATGCTGTGTGATACTGCTCAGTCATCATGGAGTTCTTCAAGTTAATGCAAAGAATGGGAAAACTATAGATGCTGTGTAGTTCCTTCCCAGCTCGCTCAAATGCAGTTAGCTCAAGTGACTGAAGAGGACATAGCTTCTGTCTTGCCCATGCTATCCTGAATGGATGAGAAAAGGGGTTTCTCTTTCCTCTAAACATTTTCAGTAAAACTATTTCTTTCTCAGCTGATAATGCTGGGATTAGAACTCAAATGTGCTGTGAATTTAATAGTCACATGAAGGCATCAGTGTTCCCAAGGGTTTATTTTGAATTGTTTTGCTTTTAGGGGTTGCTTTCTTACTTGTCTGGTCTTGTCAAAAACATCTCTTCCTAAAAAAAAAAAAAAAAAAAAAAAAATAATTATTTTCCTTTAGCGCTTAGACAAGTGATTGGGTGGAGAGAAGCATGGGAGACATGCAAGAAGCACAAGCATAAAGTAACTTTATCTAGAAATACCCATGTGTATGTGTGTGTTACACCTAAGAACTCAGCCAAATGAAGCCAATCCCTTAGGGAACAGGAGGACAGAGGTGGGAATGCAAAGTTTAGCCTATTCCTGTGGGAAATGTTATCTTGAATACAGGCAGTGCCACACACAGAGCAGCTGTGTTTCTTGAATATACACCCTGGGTGTGTTGTAGCAGTGCATGGATTCATCATCTCTCTGATAAGGGCAGGTGCCAGCTGCAGAGGTTGTATAATTATTGTCCTTGATACTGGTCTAATAGAAGGAGAATAGAAAAGTCAGTCATGAAGCTAAATCCTTTGTGTCTTTACCTAGATGTGGATTTGAAGGGTGAGAATTCTAGCACCTAAACAGTGTATGATGTGGCTCTAAATTAGCTGGAGAAATTCTTCATAAATGTAATCCTCCTGTCTTAGGATTTACCTTCTTTAAATAACTGTTGGGTGGAAGGATTTCTTGTGAAGATATGTGATGGAATATCAGTAAGAATGTGCAGATTAGTAAGAGTCTGGAAATCAGTCAGTGTTAGTGAGATGTTCAGCTGGGACAGCGAGGAGGCCATTGGAGCTAATTCTCCTGTAGCTGTTTGAAACATTGGGGGAAACAAGTGTGGAAATGACTTGTCTAAATTCCCAATTCTAATGTGATAGTTTTCCCAATGTAACCAAATGACCAGATTACAAGGAACTATGTAGGAAAGGAGGATGTGAAAATGTACAAAAGCAGCAGTCATGAGGAAAATCCTCTTGAGGCTTACCCTTCTCATTCTGGGACACACTGAATTTACATAAACATCGTGGGAATACAGGAATCTATCATAACTTGTCAAGGACAAAAAAATGTGCAGGTCACACTGGTGATAGCAGCAGGAGAAAATGGCTGGCGGAGGCAGTGACCTGACCTTGCTTAAAATAAATCCCTTGACTAAGTGTTGTCACTTGTCTCACAGGTGATTGCCCTTGTGATGGATTCCTTCACAGATACTGATATCTTCAGTGACCTGCAGGATGCTTATAAGAAGCACAAAGTCCCTGTCTATATCCTCCTTGACCAGGAATTTCTACCCCACTTCTTGGAAATGTGCAACAATTTGGGAGTTTGTCCCGAGCAGGAAAGTGTAAGTACTAAAGGTGGGTGGGTGTGGTTTGTTTTTATTTTTTTTGTGGTACAGTTTATGCATATCAAAGAAACCCTTCTACAAAGCATCAGACTTTCTTGAGAGGCTAAAACACCTTGTCTGTTTGATAACTAAAGGGGAATTTTCTGAATTGTTACTCAGCTCCTGCAAATCAAGGCTCAATATTGTATGGTTTCAGTACAGCCTCTAATCTCATGTGTGAAACTGCTCACAGACTCAGCAAAAACCATGCAGAAAAGGCACATCTGTCACCCTATTCTGCCTGTATGTAGGAGTTACAGCCACGTCATGCACCAGCCTGGTGAGCTGGGTGGAGTGTGTGGTCTGTGATCCCTGTCCTGAGGATGCAACAATTTTCAAGCATTTAATTTTGCAATATTTAAATAGTCTTTGGCTCAAGGAACTGCTTGCTAAGGAAAAAAGAAACATGGGAAACTCAAGGGTGGTATAGCTCTGGTATGATCTGATTTCTTTCCTAATACCTAGTTGCTTTATTTTAGAAATGTTTGGATGATGTGACCAGGTGATTTATTGGTTGCTCTGAATATAGGCTGACATGGCTGTGTTATGGCTTGGCTTGGACAGGTTTATGTTCCCTCCAGTGAGAGTTTCTCTGGACAGGGAATCACTCCTAGCTTCCTGGGTAGTAATTAATTGGAACTGGCCGTTCTCTCTGCAGACTTTGCTAATCTAACAAATTTAGCACTGTGTAACTGATAGCACTCACATACAGACCGTGTAAGAAATTTCATTCCTATTTTCCACAGTGTGCATAGAATTTTAAGTAAAACTGCTAATCAAACATTTTTGGAAGTTAACTTAAATCTGGTGTTACTTTTTCCTTTCTTTTCTGAACCAGCTGATGAGAGTTCGAACTCTCACCGGGAACATTTACTACCTGAGGTCAGGTGCCAAAATTGTTGGGAAAGCTAAGGAGAAGTTCATGTTAATTGATGGCATTAGAGTGACAACAGGCTCGTACAGGCAAGTATTGGGGTCTGCTGGTGCACAGTGAAGCTGTAGAAAGGGGGATTTGCTATAAGAAGGATTTATTAACTTTGCTATTTGCCTGGTGTTAATGAGTGCATGTGGACTAGCTGAATCTAACTGGGTGAAAACTATCTAACTGAATTTACACTAAAGTGAAAACACCTTTGGAAAATTGATTTACACATCTTGTTCCTAACAAAGCACTTGGCTAAATAGAGTTCTTCCTGAAGAAGGAGTGAATAGTCTATCGGCTTTGTACCTTCCTTACATGCAGCATTTCGAAGCTGTAACTTCAATATCTGTAACTGTATGTGTTGAAATGAACTGGAGATTAACTGTGAATCTTGTTTTCAATAGTTTCACATGGTCCGATGGGAAGCTGAACAGCAGTAACTTGCTGGTGTTGTCAGGCCAAGTAGTTGAACACTTTGACCTGCAATTCAGGATTCTTTATGCCCAGTCACTGCCCATCAACCCTAAAGGTCCATCCAGCTGCAGGAAGAGTGGGCTGTTTGATCACCTGGTGACCAGACCAGAGTCCTCTAAAGAATACACTGTGGAAGGCAACCTGAGAGCAGAATTTGCCAGACTGTCGAGCACTCCAAAGAAGTTGTTGGAAGAACTAGATATGGCTGAAGATCGCCATGGAGGAAAGCCTTGTAACCTGGGGCATTCTTGCCTCTGTGAAGAGGAGTCATTCAGCAATCAAGTGATCATGGTGGAACGGAAAAGCTCATCGACTCAAACTGGCCCGTGGGATGAGACAGCTGCTGTGAGCACCTGTAATGCTGCCACGCAGACCAGTGCTGCCATGGCAGAAACTGGCACTCAGGCTTCTGTCACTGCGAGAGCAACGGGCACTCAAACGTCAGTTTTGCTGAAAACTGCAGTGACACAGACAAAGGAAGAGGAAGGCACAGAAACACCCCTACTTCATAGAAAGTTGTCAAAAGAAGAATATTCTCTGACTGGAAACGTCATATCAAACTCTAGTCTGCGATCGCTGTCTTCGTCATCGTCCCAGTGTTCTCTTGGAAGCTCAACAGGCTCACTGTCTTCTCTCCGGTCCTTTGAATATTCCAGCAGTCACAGAGCACAATATTTCCAAAAACTGCATAAAGAGAGGCAATTCCACTACTCCACTATCAGGTCAAAGCTGAGCCACATGGTGGATATCCTCTCCCGGAGGGGCCGTGTGCCTGAGAGCTACATGACCCAGTACACTGGCAGATGCAACCTAAAGCAGAGGCGGGACATCAGTGCCAGCCTGCGCAGCCTCCGGGATGTCTCACTCTTCTCCCTGAATAAATGATTGCTGCACTGACCATAGAGCACACAAGTTCAACTCTCAAGCTGCAGTCACTTTGTACCTACTGATTCTTCCACTTCCATCCAGCAGTTTTACTTTTCTTGATACATCACCCTCCAGCACTTTGTTTTATACTATGCAATGTAAGTGATTAAAAAAAGAGTCATTATAGAGGAACTACTTACATGTTCATCTTGTATGCATTAACAGTGAAGATCATTTTAATTCCAGATGCTTAGCCTGAAAAATAAACTTGCTACTGGTTTCTAGGATTGCTAACGCTCTGGTTTTAATTTATGTAAACTTGGAAAAATCTTGAGTCAGACTGAGCTTGCTCAGAGTGGCTTTGGAAATTTAGCTTAAATCAAGGTACACTCAATTTTTTTTTCTTTTTAATATTGGCTTTTATTTCTACTTTATATTTGGCATGAGGAGAAACAATTTTTATAAAGAACTATAAAGCTCATTTTATTCCAAATCTGACTTCCACTAAAGTTGTGAAGGGTCTAATTGAGCAGTTGCATATTCTTATCTTCAGCTATATCCTTTATTCATTGTTTTAGGCTTCTGAAACAAACTGAGCTAAGTAGCTCTTCGGTTTGATCATCATCTTGCCTTTGTGTAGATACATGTATATTTCTGTATAATTATACACATCCTCAGAATAGCATCCTTTTAAAACCAAAACTAGACCAGGAAGTAGCAGCTTAGCACTCCAAGACATCTGTACCCATTTTAGATACAGTCCTGATGTAATTGTTTCCAGTATTTGGAACTGAAAGCTAGTGATCTTGGACCTGTAAGACTGTTAATGGGAATGTATTGCTGAAGTGTTGGGTTTTCATGCTTGTGAGTGGGAGATGAAGTACTGTCTGGAGCTCAATGTCTTACTGCAGCATACCTGTTGTACTTATGGGATGACTTCAAAGAACTTTGTGTCTTGTGCAACTTGTTGCATAGAATTAAGCTTTATTAATTAATTACACTTTTAGTCTTAGCACTGTAAAATGAATTTCTAATTCTGGCTTTGTCTAGGAATGTCTGAGCCATCTTACATCTGTTTGGAAACCTGTAAAGCTTCCTCCTTTGCAGTGAACTTGAGGCAAGACAATCATCAAGGGCATGTGACAAAGCCCCTGTTCAAAAGTGAACTGACAAATGCACTACAAAATGTTGTGGGTTATGTTGGGTAATATTATTGTACAACTAACTATGAGTTTTTAACAGTCCTGTCTGAAATACTCTGTTTCCTCCTCTGTTTATCCTTTATCCACTACTAACTTGATTTGAGGAGATAAAGTGCCTCTCCAGTTTTTGAAAATACTTTCAATATTGAATGGGCCTTAGGTTTAGCTGTTTTGCAGAAACATCATCTGAATATTTGTTTGCAGTTTTCTGTGCATGTCTGTGCTTGCTGGATTACCTAACTGAGCAGAGTGTGTCAAATCTCCCTGGGATCTAACCACATACTGTTGTTCTTTAGACTTGCACCCCTGTACTTCAGTGACCAACCACACTGAACTCTGCCCGCTCAATTCAGAGTCTGGGTTGTGTATTTTCTTATTTAGGGCCACGTGTGTCCAGCAGATGGCACATTTCAGCATGTTTATAGGCTTGCAAATTCCTATAAACAGCAATGAATGAGTGAATAAACAGAAAAATACCTGTAGCTCAAAAAAGCTGCAAGTGTAGAGAGCAACACTATTCTATTAACTTTGGTCTTTCTGTCTGAAATCTCTATGAACAAAGAGGCTTAGATACTTTTATTGCTTGGAATTCAAAGCAGCCACTCCTTCCCTGAAGCTGGAGGGCAGATGTGCAAAGATGTGCAGGTGGGAAAAAAAATCTCTGTCTGCACTTGCTTGAAACAGTAAGATACATTATTGCACGATCCTTGCATCTGCAACACTGGGAGCAAAACAAGTTGCAGAGAGGGAGCCAAGATACATCTTCAAAGCCAATCTCGAGTTGTATTTTCAAGAGTTCATGTTCTGCAGTACTTGAATGTATGTGCGATCAACTTGTTTGTTCCACGTGCTTTTTAACTATTGCACTGTGCAGCTGTTAAGATAGTCTTACAGGAATAAGAAACTTTACAAATAAACTTTTTTTTTTGCCGTGGGGTTTTCAGCTGATCATTGCTGAGCTTTGTTTTCTCTTAATTTGGCGTGTTGAGTCTGGGTGACTTCTCCGGTGCTTGGTGCTTTCCTTCTGGGACCATTTGCCCTCTCTAACCTTAGGAGCAGCCTTTTCATCTGGGCTGGGATGAGGGCTGCACTTACTCTCGCGGCTTAATGCTAGGTTTGCTGTTTTGCGGGTGCTTCCCTGGGCGGGGAGAGGGCTGTTGGCTCTGCCCCCCCAGGCCTGTCCCGTGGGCGAGGGGCCGGACGGGAGGCGTGGAGGGGCCTCCGGAGCGCTATAAAGGAGCCGCGGGCTGAGCGGGGCCGGTCCAGCCATGGCCAACTCGTCGCAGTGCCTGGAGGAGGGCGCGGGGCGCTGGCCGCCGCCGGCCGGGCCGTACAGCGAGGCGCAGCGCCTGGCGCTGGAGGAGCTGGTGGCGGGCGGCCCCGAGGCGCTGCGGGCTTTCCTGCGGCGGGAGCAGCTGCCCCCGTTCCTGTCGGAGCCCGAGGTGCAGGACATCGCGCGGGCCGCGCTGCCGCTCGCCGCGGGCCCGGAGCCGGCGGCACAGTCCTCGCCCGGCTCTTCGCTGGACGCCTCATCCCTCACCTACTTCCCCGAGCGCTCGGACCTGGAGCCGCCGGTGCTGGAGCTGGGCTGGCCGGGCTTCGCCAGCGGCGCCTTCCGCGGGCTGACGCGGGTGGAGGCGCATTTTCAGCCCGGCTGCGGGGACAGCAGCAGCATCTACGGCTGCAAGGAGGCGGTGCGGCGGCAGATCCGCTCCGCGCGGCAGGTGAGTGCCCGGGACCGATAAGCGCCTCCTTCACGGGACACCGAGCAAGGTCAGGCGGCTTTAGAACCGCCCCTGCCAAGCAGAGAATGCCTCGTGAAAAGGACAAGCTCGAAAATATACAAGGAGTGGCAGTCTATATGGTGCATCTCCGAACTCCCCCTTTCCCGGTTCTCCAGTGCCGCGCCGCTGCCTGGAGCCACTTCGTCCTTCTCCCCTTCACTTGCTCTTAAATAAACTCCCATTTTCACTTACTGTGCTGTTTCCTTTTTTCTTATTATTTCTTTCGCACCACCTTTTTTTATTTATTCTTAAAATAGGTTCACTATTTGCCTTCCCCCATATTGATGAAAACGGAGTCCCGATTCTCTCGGTGCTGCTAAGCTCCCTCGGGTACTTGGCACTCGTGAGCGATACATCCCGAGCATGCCCGTTCCCAGCTCTCACAAGCAGCTGTTGCTTCCTCATCCTGTGGTGGATCCTGGGGTTCCGCCCGTGGGGAAGGTCTGTGGGGGCAGGATATGGCTCTCAAGTGAAGCTTTACTCAAGGAACTTGAAAGAATAGTCAGATCTTGACTTCAAATATCGTGAGAATAATAAGTTATAAACAAACCTCACTTTTATCTCAAGTAGAGAGGTGAGACGTAAATGGCAGTCAAAACGGAGCAGTTAAAATTTGGTGGTTTGGGTTTTTTTGGTTTTTTTTTGTTTTTTTTTTTGGGGTTTTTTGTTGGGTTTTTTTTGTGTTGTTTGTGTGTGTGTGTGTGGTTTTTTTTAGTGCTTCTTTTCATATTTGAAAAGTTTGAAACACTCTGGAAAACCTTAGTGTTGGAAATAAGCTCACCTTTTTCTTCTGGTTTTGAGGAAAAGACATCTGTTCTCAGGAAGAAAACCCTCTTGCTTAGGAATTGGAAACCAAATTTGTCTAACACAGAAATAGAGAACTAGACCACTGGTTTTGCCATAGGCTGAGGAAGAATATACCATATCACAGAAGGCTGTACCATGTTCCATAACCATCAGGAAAAAATGTGTGTGGAGAAATATTTAATTTGAAAGTCAAATTCCTCATGTGCTGTCTCCTTTGGGATGCTGTGGAAATAGCCTAATGGTTTCTTCTAAAACTTGTTGCAGATGATTGCCTTGGTTATGGATTCCTTCACAGATACTGATATCTTCAAAGACTTCATGCAAGCCTGTAGCCAGCGGCAAGTTAAAGTGTATATCCTGCTAGATCAGTCTTCGTTTTCCCACTTTCTAAAAATGTGTAAGGATCTGGGAGTTGACCTTGAACAGGAAAAGGTGAGCCTTGTCATATTTATAGGGATAGGGAGCTATTCCTCTTACAAGTGTAATCTGAGCCATCAAAAGAAGAAGCTATTATACTTGCTGCCACAGCTTCAAGTGGGAGTTATGTACCTCCATCTCATTCTTGGAAGATTTGACTATTCTTGCATAAGGCAGCAATTAATAGAAAATCTGAAACCTTTGTAAGTGGATGTTACAGCTGCTTTCTGAGAATAAATACTAGTTGAACATTCAAGGAAAGGCAGGAGGAATGTCCAGTTCCCAAAGCATGACTGGAGTTGCTTGGGCTTGCCGAGTCTTTGAAGGCTGATGGAGAAGCAGGTTCTTGGGAGTGTGTGAAATTTTGGTCCCTACAGAATTAGGTGGAAGGAGTTTTTACAGTCATTCTGCACAGTCAGTTTATGGGTTTGCCCTTTTATGCCACCTCTTTGCCTACTAAAACAAGACAAAACTATCATTTAGTTCCTAGAGAGTGACTCTTGTGCCAGTGCACAGCAATCCTTGCTAGTTCAAGGGAAATCAGGGATCGTTATTGGGGTGTTACTCCTTTAAACAGAACTTTGAAATTCACCTGACTCTTGCTGTATCTTTAACAGTTGATGAGAGTTAGAATTATCACTGGGAACACATATTGCACCAGGTCGGGTGCCAAAATTATTGGAAAAGTCTGTGAAAAGTTCATGTTAATTGATGGCATCAGAGTGACAACAGGCTCCTACAGGCAAGTGCTAGTTTTTTTCTGTTGTTTAGCATGATTTCTTTACATTGAAAGGAAAACCATCAATGCTGCAGAACTGCTTTCCTTATCAGATTTTATGTGTAACATTTATCCATAAAAGAAGAACCCACTGCTCATCTGCTGGATTATAAGAACAATGTAACTAAATGTGATGAAAGTGAATTTTTAGTTAATACTTTGTTTACTGATTTTTTTTTTAGTTAACTCACAATTTTCTCATTTTTCCTTTGCTAGTTTTACTTGGACAGATGGGAAGCTGAACAGCAGTAACATTTTGATCCTGTCAGGCCCTGTAGTTGCACAGTTTGACCTGGAATTTCGGATTCTCCATGCACGGTCAAAGCCAATCAACCTCAAAGAGTTATCCAG